TAATTACTTGTCAATGTTCCTTATTTTGCATTTGAAAATTGCATAAGATTTTGGAAACCTAATTTACCCTTTCTTAGATTGCCATTTTCTGTGCCAACAAAATTGATTTTTATTCAAATAACTATTTAATTAAAATAATCTGTATGACACTAGTGATAAAATTAATAATGATCTCTTTGTTTTTTTATATTAATTAATTTTTAAAATGTAAAATTAGAAAAACCCCTATAATAATTAGACAATGAATATTTTCTTATTATTATAGAAAAATTTTAAAAAATTCAATATATGAACAAAATATAAAATTTTCTGCATGTGAAGGGCAATGAAGTAATAGTCGGAAATAAACAAAGGGCAACAAAGTAATAGGGTATATGAAAACTAAGCATGGGGTCCCTTGCTTGACATTGAAACGGCGGACAAATGCCACCTGCTCTACCTAAATTCTTCGACTATGCTTACTTTTTGCTGAGCTATTGTGATTATCCAATCAGCTCAAACCTGTTGAATCCTGTATTATAAATACCCATCTCCCCTCCAATTCCCATCATCATCAAATTCATTCTCTGCCATTGTCTCTGTTTTCAAACTCCGTGTTTTGATTTTCCGGTCATTTTCCTTTCTGGGTCTTCTTTTTTTTTTTCAGTGTGAGCCATGAATGCCCTTGCTGCAACCAACCGCAATTTCCGCCTCGCCTCTCGTTTACTTGGGTTGGACTCCAAGATTGAGAAGAGTCTGCTGATCCCATTTAGGGAGATCAAGGTATGGAGATGGAAAACTCTGTTTTTTTTCTGTTTTGGTTTTGTTTTTTGGTGCTTCTTTTTTTTCCTTATTTTGAGAATTTCCAAAAGGGGTTTCGTTTTTTCTGATCTTGTGCTGGTTTATGATCAGGTGGAGTGCACGATTCCCAAGGATGATGGAACGTTGGTGTCATACGTTGGATTTAGAGTTCAACATGACAATGCTCGTGGACCCATGAAGGGAGGAATCAGATATCATCCTGAGGTAATCACTTTTTTTATATATGTATGTTGGTTTTTGTCCTGTTTGTTTCTGTTTTGTGATGATGATTTGTTTACTAGAGACAGTCCTTTACTTTAATTTGGATTTCGTGCATGATTTTTGTCCTTCTTGGGAAAGAAAAAACGCTTTTCTGTTTATTCTGTTTGGACTTTGGACTCCCTGAAATTGTTAGCTTTACTCCTATTTGAGCAAGCTGAGAGCTTTTTCTGGGGTGAGGTGGGATTTGACCAAAGCGGTTTGTTTCACTACAACGAACTTGTTTGGAATGTGGGTTGGTTAATTTGATGGTCAAACATGTTCATGGCTAATTAAAATTTACTGAGGCTAATTAAAACTATTGGAAGAACTTTTGCTTTGGCAGATCATAAGAGCTGAATCTAGTCTAGATTAAATAACGTGATCCATAGGATCATAGGTTCTTTTTTCTTCTTTTGGCTGTTATTTGTTGGCTATCTAGTAATCAATAATCTTCTAGTCTGTTTTAGTTCAGTTACCATTATATTCTACAGAAACTTGTGTGAAATTTTGGACCGTAATTCTATTGTTTCTTAAATTGTATTCCTGAAACAAGATGCTGTCATAACTTACCCACACTTTTATGTTTTTCCTAATTCTCTGGATCATTTTTGCAAGAAGAGTTAGTGATAAGAGAAAAAGATATGCTGATGGATCCAGCAGACATGTCTTGCTTCAAATTCTAAACGATGCCTTTACTTCTTTTAACTTGAACTAGAAGTCAATAAGTTCAGAGGAAATGCTTTAACAAAGTTGTAAAATGACCTTGAAATGCTTTTATGTCACATGATCAGAAACCTCATATTTGAATCTCCAAGTGCATTGTCAAATATTCATTCATCTGGAAGTTAAAGTACTCTAAATGGAGTTAATGTCTTGAAAGCATTTTAACAGTTGACCCTGGATAAGCTATTGCTCAATTCCTGCTCCACTTTTGGGGTTTGGTGCTCTATGTGTATTTTTGTCATTCCATGTTTGTGGTAGAAATGTTGATTTGGTTTATGTGACCAATGACAACAGATCAGATAATTAAATGTTTAATCACTTTTCTTTAAAGGTTGACCCTGATGAAGTGAATGCTCTGGCTCAATTAATGACCTGGAAAACTGCTGTAGCAGACATCCCTTATGGTGGAGCAAAGGGTGGGATTGGATGCAACCCTAAAGACTTAAGTAATAGTGAATTGGAACGTCTAACTCGTGTATTCACTCAAAAGATCCATGATCTCATTGGGACACATACAGATGTTCCTGCCCCTGACATGGGTACTAATGCACAGGTCATACAGAACTTGATTAGTCTTCGTTTTCTTCTTCTTCTCCTTCTTCATTATTTTTTTCTATCAGCAAACTTGATTAATCTATTATGTGTCAGAAAATTTGCACATTTATTTAAGGAAGAAAAATTTTCAATTGCTTGGAGCTGACTATCTAGCTTTCTTTGTGTTTTAAAAATAAATACATGCAGACAATGGCTTGGATTTTGGATGAGTACTCAAAATTTCACGGACACTCTCCAGCTGTTGTGACTGGGAAGCCCCTAGTAAGTGACATGTCAATCTTGTTGGTATCAAGTCTGCAATAATTATCAGGAATCTGGTAGAACAATGTCTTTCTGCTCACTTATCTCGTTGTTTTTTTTTTTTTTTTTGAATCTTAGGATCTTGGTGGATCGCTAGGTAGAGAGGCTGCAACTGGTCGTGGTGTTGTGTTTGCTACTGAAGCTTTACTTTCTGAATATGGGAAGTCAATTAATGCTTTGACTTTTGCTATTCAGGTACAGTTCTTACTATCTTATAAGTGCCTTATCCATTATTCCTTAGTTTCCTTCTCTAAGGGTATATTCTATATGCTTGCTAGGGTTTTGGTAATGTTGGGTCATGGGCAGCAAAGCTCATACATAATAGAGGTGGAAAGGTTATTGCAGTCAGTGACATCACTGGGGCAGTTAAGAACCCAAATGGAATTGACATACCAGAGTTGCTAAAGCATAAAGAAGCTACTGGAAGTCTTCTGAATTTTGGTGGTGCAGATGCCATGGATCCTAATGAACTGCTTGTTCATGAATGTGATGTTCTTATCCCATGTGCTTTGGGTGGAGTTCTGAACAGGTTTGCTTCTTTTGCCAAGAATTGGCATCATCTTATGCTTTCTTGTAAAGTATTGCCTCTTTTCTCAGTTTACCAATCTGAGCTCTTGTGTTTCGCTGTTAGAACATAAATTAGTTGCCTTAAACTGTCAGTCAAATGCAATGAGTTGACAGAATTATACTGTTTGTGTTTCCTAGCTGGAGTTTAAATGTCTTTAATTTTTAAAGATACATTTATAAATGATATAATGGATATGCCTTTGCTCATTGGCATGCATATGTCTCGTTGAGTGACAAATGGTCATAGGTTAAAAGAATTCCTAAGGCAACCAAGTAGAAGGGATGTGATTACAAAAGATCATCACAAACAACGAAGATGCTAAGTGATAATTGTTATATCTTAGTTTTCGTGCCACCTGTAAAATTAACTTGCAGTAGGCATGGAGAGTTCAAAATGACACATAGTTTTGTTCAAATTACTTCATCTTTTACTTCAAATCTGATATAATTAGAACTTAAATTCCTGACACGAAGTTTTGCCTCAATTGAGAAGTTAGGCTTTTGAAGTGTTGCATTTTAAGTTATTAAGTGGGTTGAGCACCACTGGATTTTTGTAGTCTGTTTGGGAACTGTCATTGATTGTTCAGTTTACTTGAGTTGTCTGTTTTACATTTCATGTTCCTCGAAGGGAAAATGCTGCAGACGTGAAGGCCAAGTTCATAATAGAGGCAGCAAACCATCCTACTGATCCAGAAGCTGATGAGGTAACACACATACTGTCTCCTTTATTTTCTGCTATCCCTTGAACTGGAAGTTTTTTTCCTCTTATTTATGAGATTTTTATGATGCAGATTCTATCTAAAAAAGGAGTGATTATACTCCCTGACATATATGCAAATGCTGGGGGAGTGACTGTCAGCTACTTCGAGTGGGTTCAGGTAAATTTATCTTAATAAAAATATAAAAATCTGCCACTTATATAAATTCATTTTACCTGAGAATTTTTCGATCTGAGGCAATATGTCCTTTCTTTTTGTACTATTTAATTGCAACAAGACAGTTGCATTTTGGTCCCTCTAAACAATCTAATCGTGCAAGAAACGATTGGGGATCACAATATTTCATCTCAACTTTTCCTCTGCTTTACTTGTTTTGCACATGGTATTTAATTAAATGAGCTGCATAAAGCAGTTAATACAAAGCCCTTTTCAACCTGAAAAACTAACGACTAAGTAAATATATAAAGAAAATGAATCAGATGGTTTATCTTGTTCAAGTTATGGAGGACACTATAACGTGCTTTTATTTTATCCAATTTGGCAGAACATCCAAGGTTTCATGTGGGATGAAGAGAAGGTGAATGCTGAACTTAAGAAGTACATGACGCAATCCTTTTATAACATCAAAAACATGTGTCAATCACATAATTGCAATCTCCGGATGGGTGCATTTACGCTTGGGGTAAACCGGGTTGCTCGTGCCACCACCCTTAGGGGATGGGAAGCATAAGCATAAGCAGCTTACTCATTCCTTCTCTCGCTGTTTTAGTTCCATAAACCTACGTTTCCATTTAAAGCTGAAGTTAGCTCTGAAGCAATTTTTACGTCCCCTTCATAGTTATAATTTTTTTCATGCAGATTGTTTCTTAGTGTATTTGTTGAGGGGTTTGTTTCATTGTAGCGATGGAAAACTTCTCCAGTTCTGATTAGGGAAAATAAACTCATTGTTTCATCATTTTGGATTTGAGGTTGAAGTCATTGTAACACCTCAGCCTCTATAATATAATACTGCCATTTTGAATCAAACCATTCATTTTTGATTTTTGGAGACAATTTGAGCTTTTAAACGGTAACCTGGAGTTGTCCAGGTTTATGCCACAAGATATTGTCTGCTCGGGTTTATAAGCCTCATGACTTTATGAAGGATCATCTCATGTATGAGGGAGTTCGATCTTGGTTGATAGTCAGTCCTCTTTTAAAGCCGCAGCAAATTAAACCTGCGAAGACAAAATGCAAAATCATTGTGCACACAAGAAAAGGCATATATATGATGTTATATTCATTTAAATAAACTAAAGTGTGAAGAGCAATCTCTATGGCATAGTGGTGGTTACACTACCAATCGAACAGCAAGTGGAATGCACTTAACCCTAAAGTTCGACCCTCCTACAAAACAACAGATATTAACACTAATCTAATCATTTTCTCCTGTCAAACTACCCATTGAACAACAGGTGAAATGCACTTAACTCTAAAGTTCGACCCTCTTACAAAACAACAGATATTAACACTAATCAAATCATTTTCTCCTGTCAAAAAAAAGAAAAAGAAAAAAACTAAAGTGTGAAGATATATTATAACTAAGTAGTCAAGAAGAAATAACATTTGTTCTAATTAAAATTATTTTTGTGGAAAAAGAGGGAAAGGGCATGGCTTTGCTGTTTGCTCACTTACCTGGTCTCGGCTCAAAAAATGTTGAACAATATATATATATATATATGGCTATCGTATATCCATGACATCTCTAACAGAAGACAAGTTAAATAGTTTATATTCCAATCCCACTCAAATATGAGTTTGGGAGACAACAGCTTAATTTCTCAGTGCTTGCAGTCTGCAACAAAATCCTCCGGAGCTGCCTTACCATAAACACAATTCTGAGAATTCAACCAGTAAGGACGTTTCTCCAGCCGTTGTCTGGCCATTGCGCAGGCCAACTTGATCCACATTCTGATGCATTTACGGGGCACACTATGCACACGTGCCTGAAGAGGTACATTCCAGAAGACACGCACCAGAGAGATTTACTTGGTCAATCACATATTCACATTGCAAATATTCATTAGAAAATCGGTGTCTCTTAAATTAGCCTCTATTTGACTACAGAAAGA